GGTGAGGGGCTGCCGGGGAGGGGCCCAGGGTTGAGGGGGGGGGGCCGTTGGGGGAGGGCCCCTGGGTGCAGGGCTTGGGAGGAGGGGTGCTGCTGCCTGGGAAGTAATAGGGTGCAGGGCTTGGGGAGCGTCTCTTGCTGTCTGGGGAAGTTCAGAGGTGGAGAGGGGCTTTGGGATCCTGGGGGTCCCCTGCAGAGGAGACTGAGGGGCTGCCGGGGAGGGGCCCAGGGTTGAGGGGGGGGGGCCGTTGGGGGAGGGCCCCTGGGTGCAGGGCTTGGGAGGAGGGGTGCTGCTGCCTGGGAAGTAATAGGGTGCAGGGCTTGGGGAGCGTCTCTTGCTGTCTGGGGAAGTTCAGAGGTGGAGAGGGGCTTTGGGATCCTGGGGGTCCCCTGCAGAGGAGACGAGGCAGGATGGGGGCTCGGTATCAGGGGTACCAAGGTGGGAAGTCAGGTGACTATATGGCAGTAGTGAGTGTTGCCCTTCATGGGAGATAAGGAGTTGGTGTCTGGATGACAGCTGGCACCTGGCTGGATAGGATGGTGGGAGCAAATGTTAGGAGATGTAAAATCCTGTTTAATTAGTTAACTGGGCAAACATTGGCTTCATCTAGACTGGCAAGTTTTTCCTTTGCGGAAAAACTTTCCAGCTGTCTACACTAGCGGCTTGAATTTCCACAAGAACACTGACTTCCTACTGTCTGAAATCAGTGGTTCTTGCGGAAATGCTATGCTGCTCCCGTTCGGGAAAAAGCCCTCTTGCGTAAATGCTTTTACACAAGAGGGCCAGTGTAGACAGATGAAAACTGTTTTGCGCAAAAAAGCCCCAATGGTGAAAATGGCGATCGGGGCTTTCTTGCGCAAAACCACATCTAGATTGGCATGGATGTTTTTCCGCAAAAAGTGCTTTTGCAGAAAAGCATCCGTGCCAATCTAGACGCTCTTTTCCGCAAATGCTTTTAACGGAAAACTTTTCCGTTAAAAGCATTTGCGGAAAATCATGCCAGTCTAGACGTAGCCAAAATATTTACCTGGTTAAATGATTAAATAGGGTGAGTGGGGGCTGCCTTGGCGGGCTGAAGTGCCCCCCACTCATGGTGGACCCCACCGGTTAACTGGTAGGCCTCACCTGGTAAGCCAATGGATGACCCCAATGCCTATATAATGGGTTAAATTGTGGCATGCAGGGGCTTTGACCATGCAAAGATAAGCTTACACTTTTCAATCGTTTAAACACTTGAACTCCCAGGCTGCATCTAGACTGGCATGATTTTGCGCAAAATCAGCTGCTTTTGCGCAAAATCTTGCTGCCTGTTTACACTGGCCGTGAGTATTTGTGCAAGAACACTGACTTTGTAATGTACAAAATCAGTATTCTTGCGCAAGAAGCCAAGTGTAGATAGCAACATTAATTTATTGCGCAAGAAAGCCCGATGGCTAAAATGGCCATCGGTGCTTTCTCGCGCAAGAGAGCGTCTACACTGGCACAAAAGCAAATCTTTTGCGCAAAGGCACATGCCAGTATAGAGGCTCTCTTGTGCGAATATTTTTAACGGAAGAACTTTTCCGTTAAAAGTATTTGCGCCAAATCATGCCAGTCTAGACGCAGCCCCAGTGTCTACAGTTTATCAAGCCTGTAAGGATTTGTATGTTTGGGGCCTTAATTTTTAATATGGAGGTGCGATTCCTGTGGAGAAGACAGCTCCAGCATGCTCTGTTCTTTTCTAAGCCACGCAAGCCCATATATTTGAGCCACAAAAATGGCAAGTTGTAGCAGGAGGCAAGTTGTATATCACATATTGATTCCTGTGCCCTTTGGGCTGAAATTCTGTATTAAAGATTGAGCACTCATGGAAGTACTCGTACATTGTGATCTGACCACATTAGATTGAGGACTAAAGGGTCACATTATCATTTTAAATATCAATTGTTGTAAATGATCATATTTATCTGTGTTACTAATAATGCCTGTGGTCATTAAATCTTGGAACTACATATATCTGGTGTGCTTTTTCTTTGTCTATTCCTGGGTTTTGACATATTTTTTTTTCCCTTACAGGCTGTACTGTGGAAATCAATAAAACTGATTTCATTTTAATTTATAATTTCACATTTTCTGGTTGAAATGTTTGGATTGCCATGGGATTGTATGGTTAAAAGTGAGACAATTCCATTGGAATTTTGTGATTATTATAATAGAAATTTCTATTGCCTTTTGGTATTGTAAAAACCTTTCTGCACAATTTAAACATGAATGCAAATATGAATTGATGCTGGTGTCTCATTAAAGTTAAAATTCCATCTGCAGTTCCTTGAAATTTGGGGTCTTCAAAGTATTTTTGGGGTCTTCAAAGTATTTGAAGGCTTCAATATCTGAGATATAGGTGAGAGGATTATTCTGGGAGGGGTGGGTGAGATTTTGTGGCCTGCACTGTGCAGGGGTTCAGACTAGATGATCATAATGGTCCCTTCTGACCTTAAAGTCTATGAGTATATGAAATTCTATAAGCTAGTTAATACATCTTATGGACCTTGTCCTGAAATTGGTTTCATACTGGTTCAGAGATCTTCTGTCATGGAGCCAGGAGCAGGGTTGGGGACCAAGTGATACATGGGGAGATTTTCATTGGCACAGACTAGTTAGACACCCAGATTCCATTGGCTTTTAGTTATTATTTTGTGAAATCTGTGGGAGGTAGGCATTTGAAAATCTGCTCTATCATGGTGAGAGAAAACCAACACATTGGCTGTGTCTAGACTGGCAAGTTTTTCTGCAAAACCAGCTGCTTTTGCGGAAAAACTTGCCAGCTGTCTACACTGGCCGCTTGAATTTCTGCAAAAGCACTGACGATCTCATGTAAGATTGTCAGTGCTTTTGTGGAAATACTATGCTTCTCCCGTTTGGGCAAAAGTCTTTTTCCGAAAAACTTTTGCGCAACAAGGCCAGTGTAGACAGCAGAGATTTCTTTTCCACAAAAAAGCCCCGATTGCAAAAATGGCGATCGGGGCTTTTTTGCGGAAAAGCGTGTCTAGATTGGCCACGGACGCTTTTCTGCAAAAAGTGTTTTTGCGGAAAAGCATCCTGCCAATCTAGACACACTTTTCCGAAAATGCTTTTAACGGAAAACTTTTCCATTAAAAGCATTTGCGGAAAATCATGCCAGTTTAGACATAGCCTTTGTGTCTAGTTTAGTAAATTTTCACCACAGTTTTGTGAGGCTGTATTATAACTTGTCTGGTAGTAAAGGGCTCTATTCATAGGGCCTATTATTAATAATACAGGTCTTTTCATTTTGAAAGTACTGAGTTAACATTGGCAAAGCTAAAACTAGTTATTTCTAGATTAATTTTCTTAAACTTTGATCCTGCATCTATGCAGATGCAAAGCTTCATCAACAGTTTCTTGTGAGTGAATCCAATTTGAATATACAGTCATGAGACCTTAACATTTCATTATTGCAGGAAGGGTTGTCTGTTTGGGAACTTGTTATTCAGTGAGTTCACCTTTTAGGGCAAGTGGAAATTGAAGAGCCAGATCTACATAATTTTAAATATTATTTAATTGATGCAAACATATCAGCAAATCTCTCTGTTTCTCTTCTTAATCATTATCAGTTGACTCTTTCCAGTCAATGTCATGCTCCATTTGGATCTTGAAGGAGTTGAAGGATGATAGGTTTGTGTTTTTATAAATTAGTTTGGGCAGGTGTGTTCCATTTGAAAAATGTGATGAGCAAGCACTTTTAAGAATCTAGTATTTCTCCTCTTCTCTCCTTTTCAGATTGTATTGCTCTGCTATGTCAGCCCTGTTTTATCAGATAAAGTTCTGACCAAAGTTTAGCTGTAGTTTGATAAACACAGATACAGGTCTGTTTTACAAATTATACACAGTTTGAATATTTCATCTGTAAAAAAAACCAAACACAAACAAAACCCAAGTCACTTTTTGAGAAGTCAGGCACCAAAGGGAGAGAGAGAGAATTAAAAATGTGAATTTACATAGTTTTTCATTCTTGTACTGTAGATTAAAATTGATCAAACCTACATTTCTCTAATTTTGCAAAAGTTTCTTGCACTTCAGGGTACAGAAGAAACTTTGCTTGTGCAGTTTCTGCAAATCATTTGCTGAGTGTCAGTCTACTCTTGTTTTTATGATAGATAAAAAGTAATAGTAGTAGAAGGGTAGGCTAGTGTAAAGATAAAATTAAATGTCTTATACACATTGAACCTCTGTTAACCAGGACTCCCTGGTATGGGTGCCAGACCACGATGTTCCAGGACCAGAGAGTCCTGGTGAAGGGCTGCCGGTTCCCCACAGTTGGGTTGTTACGTACAACCTAGTGGGGCTGCCTGGCAGGGCCAGGAGCCCAGCGTGCCACACTGGGGCCGTCTGGTAAGGCCAGGAGCCCAGTGTGCAGGAACCTGTGCTGGAGCTGGGCTTCTTGGCATAGTAGGGAAGGGGGTGGAGGGACTGGCAGGCAACAAGGCTGGTGGCATCGGGGGAGCCAGCCAGGAGGTTGGCAGCCTGTCCAGGGCTGGGAGCAGGGGAGCCGGATATGACCTCCCCTGGTCCGGCAAAATGCCTTATCTGGGACTGGTCAGGTCACTAGGGTGCTGGTCCAGGGCAGTCCAATCTGTACCAACACTGAAGGAAAGGGTAAAACTATATTAAGCAAGTAAGCAAGGAGAGTTGTCAATAAGCGTTATGCTGATAAGTGACAGAAGCAGTCCTGAGAAAGTTGTCCAGAGGTTCAACTTTGTAAAGATTGGGGAGTGTGTTAGTCACTTTTTCTATGGTGCCTGATCATCTGGGAGCTGTCTCGTTGGTTCAGCTATGTTCAGTCATTCATAGCAGAGGAAGCTTGTCAGGATGGTTATGAGGAGTCTGAAGCTGGGAGAAAAAAACTATTTTTACATTAATTTTATATTTGGTGCATTCAACATATATAATAAATTTAGTGCATTATTAATTTGTAAAATATTGGCAGTTTGTGTTTTAATATGGCTACTGTCTGTGCTGGAGGCTTTTTTGAACTGAATCAGTATGTTAGCTATGATTCAAGTTCATAAGACTAATACATTTTACAGGGTTTTTTTTTTTTCAAATCAAGTTTATTTTGAATCGAAGTTAAAAGAAAATGTTTGCATTGGGATTAAACAATTTATTTTACTGTTAAGGTGTCATGGAAAAACTTGGTCTTGGTCCGAAGGTCATTCTACAGGAAAATCCAAAACTCATCTATGCTAGACTTACTGGATTTGGCCAGTCAGGAAAATATGCCAACTCTGCAGGTCATGACATCAATTATTTAGCTTTGTCAGGTAAAGTGTAAAAATTCCTATTAGATTAACTCTATTTTTGCTTGAATAAGAATTGTATTAACAGGCGTTTGTGCATGTGGTTTAAATTTCTTGAGTGTATCGTTCTCTAGGTAAAAGACTATAGAAGAAGAAAATCTCAGTAAAGTAAATAATTTTTATGATAGTCTTCAGTTTTATCTTTTCATTTTAGGCCTAATCCCCCAACTTTTACTCACTGAAGCAATCCTTGCATGTTTAGTCCCATGCAACTATAAATCAAACTACAGATCAGTATGTCTGCTTGTGTGAGAATGTTGAGTGAAAGCTGCAAGATCCAGGACTTTTGTGAGCTCTATCATGTCTTAGTACTCCGCATATCCTTATATTGAATGCCAAAATGAAGTAATATTATTGATTTAGTACTGCTGGACTGCAGAACAAAGTCCACACTGCTTTCTAAAATAATTTTCTTCCTAATTTTGGTTTAATTGGTACCATTTTGTGTGGTTCTTCGCATCTGTTACTGCAAAGTAACACCTGTATTTGTACACACTTCTGGGGGAGGGCAGTGCTCTTTGTATTAGAAAATGTAAAATGTGCTGGTGCACCAATTAACATTTTTCTCAACAAATTAAATTTTATCAGAGTTTTTAAAAAGATCAGACAAGTATATAGAGTGTTTACAAATCTAGCTGTATGTTTTCTATGTTCTCTAGAGTTAATATTTCTCCAGCTGCTTTTGCCAGAAAATCTAAAAGTAAATGATAATCCTACTTTCTGGCAAACTGGTTTTATTTTAGCACATAGACAATCTGCCTGAAATGTCACAGGCATGCCAGGTAGAATTTTTTTTGCCAAGTTTATGGCAAATTAGACAAGGCATTTGAGAGGTCTGACTGCTCAAGAAATTAGGTGATCTCATGTCTTGGAAAGTTTCCTTATAGTTTTCTGTTTGCTGTAACTCAAAACTGATTTGCCATGGAAAGTCTAAATTAGATTTAATATGTTTGTCTACTGGTACTTATGACACCAGTTGGACTGTTGAATGGCAGGTTTTAGTTAATGAAAAGCTTTGTGCATGCATCCTAAGCTCAGTGGTTTAACACTGTATGTCAGTGTGTGTCTCTTTAGAAAACACACACTGGTATATTTTCATCAGTGCCAGGCAGTGTTTTAGGATGCATTGAATTTGTGTGCTGCTTCAGCTGCAAGAATCAACTCCTAGGCTGGAGGCTTAGGAGGAATGTGGCTCTGCTGCAGAGCTGATAACCTCTACCTTGCCCCACTGGCAGGAGGAAGAGAAAGAGGGTGGTTATGGGGAAATACATAGCAAAATGAAGGCAAGGGGAGTGGTCAGGGGAGCAAAACCGGCTAGCAGTGTAGAAGCCCCTTTTCAAAACAATGGCCAAATACTTGACTCTGCTTCAGCCCTTTTTTATCACTCCAGCCATGTAAAGAGAGCATAATGTTGTTTTAAATTGCTAGCTGAGGATTCCCTTGGCATATAGGGGATTCTGTTGTTATCTTGATTAAGGTATAGAAATTGAAGAAATGTTAATTTTCATTTTTCTACACTTTGATTACATTTGGGTTTTTTTTTTCACAGGTGTGCTGTCGAAACTTGGTAGAAAAGATGAAAATCCTTATGCACCAGTAAATCTTCTGGCTGATTTTGCTGGTGGAGGTGTAATGTGTGCAATGGGTATAATTATGGCCCTCTATGAACGTACAAAATCTGGCAAAGGGCAAGTAATTGATGCAAGTATGGTAAGTCTTTGGTTTTGAAATGTATGTATTTACTTTTTGTTTTTAAACTCTGACTCTATAGAAGGGAAAAATGATGAAGTTGTTAGTAAGGCATAACACTAGGAGTTAGGGAAATGTCCCTAATGTCCCTAATCTTTATTCCTTCACCCATAGGCAAACATCTTATCACACCTTGGCTTTGTCTACCCTTGTCATGACATGAGCATTGGGAGCGGTTTTCCCCTGGGCTCTATGCAAATCACCTCCATGAGGGGAATAGCTAACAGAGCTGAGAGCCCAATGCTGTAGCCTTGTTGACACTGACGTTTTACATCACTGTAACTTGCTGTACTTGGATGTGTGATTTTATTTTTTCACACCACTGAGCTATATAGTGCCAATGTAGACTTAGCTCTTGCCTCTGTCCTAACTACTGTACTTTATACCACAGAAAATGGACCACAGTCTTACCTCTGCCCCGCCATGATTGCTAGAGTCTGACACTCCCTTTAACAAACTACCTCTCAATGCAATTATTTGAAGCTGTATGAGGTGGTAGTTGGATGAGTTGGAAGAAAGTATGCAACAAGAAAACGTTGTGCATCACGTACCCAAAATGATTTATAATGGCAAAAAATGACCTTTAATCCTGAAAATTACTTTTGAAAACAACCTGCTTGCTGCACCAGATTGATCAAAATTTTATCTATCTGCCAATTTTGGTTTAGATAGACAATCTCTTTTGAAAAAATATCTTAAAAAAAAAGTCAGAATGTCTTGGATGAATTTAAACAAATCAGTGTCAGACACTTTATATTAAGAATTATGAGAACAAATCAAATCCGTGTAGAAAATTCAGAGGACTTAGAAATGAATACTGAAATTTGTCTCTGAAAGAAGAGAAAAACAAACAAAAATGTGTGCCACACTTTAAACCCTTGTAGAAGCCATGGAGCCTTAATTGTCCCTCCATAATAGTGTTTTAAAATAAATTTTTGCTTCTTTTGAAGGAACAAAATACAATTTTCTTTAAAAATATTTTAATACAATAGGAAGAGTCATTTTGATGTTTAAAAATTTGAATTTAAAAAAGTAATTAATTAACTAATTAGAAATTAATTCTCCATTAAGAGTACTTTTCTAATCATTTTACAAGAAAACGGGTATTTTAATCTACACAGGCCAATAGAGGGACTTGCATTGCCTTCAGTGAACTTTGGATCTCTGTTTGATGAACTTGGAAAGTCTTTAGTAGGCGCGACACTAATTACAAATATCTTGTATTTGGGAATATTGTCTTATCTTCACTATCTGTACTTTTATTCCTTTACAAAAAATTTTGATTTTCAAGTAGGGATGTGAATGGTTATCTGGTAATCATCATCCTTACTGGGTGATTCTTACTGGTTACAGTTAACCAACGAGGGCGGGAGCTGCCCGGCCCATGGTGGGCCCGGCCTGGTCCACTGCATGTAGGGGTACTGCAACCTGGCACGAGCTGCCCCCATTCATGGCAGAGGCACCGCTGCTCCAGCCCACCTCCATCAGCCCACATTTAATCGGTTAACCAGTTAAACCTAATGTTTATCTGATTAACTAAATAATTGGATTTTACATCCCAAGTTCCAAGGAGAGCATTTAAAATTCACTGATGTCCTGATAATGTCTCCAGCTAGTTGGGAATGAAATGTTAAAAAACAACAACAAAAAAAGCCTTGAACCCTTTCTCACTCCCAAGTTTTATTTTATTGGAATATTAACCGTGTAGCTTAATTACAACACTTCACTTCCTAATGATGAACTGTGATTTCTATCAGATGTGCTTGTTCAGTGTCACCAAATGTACTTTAATCTGGTATTTCATTATGTTCCATTCCCTTGAACAGACATAGCATAGGAAAGTGATGATGGAAAACATATACTCATCATCAGTAGCAAAGACAGTTAAATAATAAGTCGAGACAGATGAGTCTGGTTCCACTTCCAACTCTGACTCATGGAAATATTTTTTAAACCTAATACCACAACCTACCAATATTTGAACTGTTCTTTCATTTTAACCTATTTTGGTTTAACAGGCACAATACTTACGTTATTATACAGGCATCTGCATCACATTATGAATTCCTTCAAGTAGTGGGATTTTCTTAAGGAGAAAAGGAGGAAGTAGTTTTTTAACCTTCTCTCATGTTCCTATAATGACTGTTGTACCATTTCATAGTCTTCCATAGATTACTTTGCCCTGTGTCATGACTACACCAAAAGGAGGACTTGTTCTCAACTTCCTGCCAAGCAACCTTTTTCAAAAGTGTAGTTAATAATTTTCACACCATTCTCTATAGATGGTTGGATTGAGAATACCTGGGATTTGAAGTTATGTTTTTAAACACATACTCTCTAGCAAATGTTTTAAAATAATGCCCATCAAACTGCTGATCATTATCAGGGATTCTATGCTTGGACAATATGGATATCATGCACATTAATACATCTATCTATCTATGGTCTAGATGGTACTGGGTCCTGGCATGAGGGCAGGGGACTGGACTCAATGACCTCTCGAGGTCCCTTCCAGTTCTAGTGTTCTATGATTCTATGTTTTGATGTACTAGTATCTAATGTAACAACCACTGGTTAATGAGAGTTATCCAAAATCAAAACATAGTCTTTAGCTATATATGTAAATAAATCCATACTAACTTTAAACCATGCCCTTAGCTGTTCATTGTTTTATAAACCTCGGTTCTTTTTTTAGTTTAGCTTGATTTTTCTGGCATGTTTAATACATTGAAAGTGTTTTTTCTATGTCATTGTTCATCTGTAGCCAATACATTATCTCTTTGGCTCTGAGTTTACATTTCTCCATGTCCATGTGTCCTTCATGTATTCTTGTGAGTGTGTCAGCTTGTTTTATCTTCTGTTTTCTGGAAACAGTAAGACAGACAGTTCTGCTTCGAATTGGAAATATGGACTTGGCACTCTGTGGTAATAGCTTTTAATTACCTCTGTGAAGTCTCATCATTGTGGCCTCAGAAAATTCATTCCACTTCCTTTCTGAGACAAGAAAATTTTTCCTTTATATTTGGTTAGCGTACACTCTGACTCATTCCACCTCTCTTTCTAGTACAGTTTATCAAATGCTCTGGACAATGTGTCCATTACCACCATGTATTTTCCTGGTGTGTAGACAATTGTTCAATCATACAGTTGGAGCTGGAAAAATAGTTGTCATATTGTTGACAGAGTGTCCATTCACCCCTTCTTTGCAATTGAGTCAGAGACTTATGGTCTGTTTCTGCAGCACTTGGTCTTCTATGCAATGGCTCTTAGGGAGCAGCCTGCTTGCCCCACTCCTTGCACTGCCGTCTCTGATACAGCATGGGACAGCAGGTAGAAGCCACCTGCCCTCCCTCCGCCCCCCATGTATAACTGTGGAAACGCTTAAATTTCCAACTGTTACAGAAATACTTACACATTTGAACATCCCTATTTTGTGTAGAGATTGCTGGTTTGTGAAGCCAAATTAAGTATAAATATGCCAATAAAATTAACCATTCCTATGAACCAGTAAACTTTATCTTTATTTTCTGGGTGTGGTATATTTGTTAGAGCTTGTGGTCTCCTAGGATCAATAAAGATAACTAATTTAGGAGAAAAGTTGAGTCTCTGAGTCTGAATTTACATTTTTTTTTAATTTGCTTAGCTGCGGACCTATTGCTCTAGCTCTGTCCAGTATTTTTTCTAACCTGTAATTATGTTGTGCTAATATGGAGGATGTCAAGGCTATTCCCCACTCTGGCACAATGAATGCAGAAATGGGAGCCCACAAAATCACCCCAAAACCTGATCTCTACAGGCTTTGGTACAAAAAACTTCCCCCAAATCCTGATACCTGGACTTTGGGAAATAAAAAAAATCCACTACCACCACCCAAGTATTACAAGAAAAACCAGGGAAGAGGTTACTTAGGAAACCTAAGCCCTAAAGTAAAACCAGGACACAAAAATTAACCAATACCGGTTAAAATAAAAAAGAAAGAACTTTTATCATCAAAACAATACCCCAGTTACAAGCATAGTTGGAATGGCTGTGTGGTAAGAGCCACCAATTAATATACTCATGGAGGATTCCACCATGGGCCAAAACTTAAAAGAGAGGAGAAACCATTTCTTAACAGCACAGACATCAGATCCAAAGTCCCAAACCAGAAAACAATACAACCTGACAGATTTATCTAGACTTTACCATACTTACACATTATGAGTATAATGAAGAGTCTTTTTCTTGGAGAGAGACATGTCTTCCGTCTTCCTCCGTATCTAGAGAGCAAACTGGCTCAGAGACAAAGGAGAGAAAACTTACAAATTCCTTTGTCTCAGTTTGAAATCCCTACCTGCATTTCTATTGGCTGTCCGCTACCTGGCTAGGTACAGGGGCCATAGTTAACCGCTTTGTCCCCAGGCTGCTGGCCATCCGTCATGGCCATGGTAGACGATAATGTCATTGATATAGAACGTAAGAATGACCAGACTGAGTCTGAGCAAAGGTCCATCTATCCTATTATTGTCTTTCAACAATGGCCAATGTCAGGTGCTCCAGAGGAAATAAATGGAACAGATAATCATTAAGTGATCCACCCCTTTTCGCCCATTCTCAGCCCTGACAAAACAGGGACTAGGGATACATCTGCCCATCTTGGCTAATAGTATTTCTGGGGGGCATTCTGCTCCAAAAAATAAATAGTTCTACAAAATTTTGCATATTTCATTTGTCAAAATAATGCAGTATGACTGCATCAGTTTCACTTACTTTGGTAATTTATTTAAACTACCATAAATAAAAAAAATCACAATAACTATTCAGGACTTCCTAGACACATGAAAGTTAAATACAAATACTTGGTAACCAGGATCCTGTGTTCCAGTTATAATCCTGGTTTAAAAACCTCTGTACAACCTTTTTAATTTTAAATGCCAGCAGTCTGGTTCCATTTTGGGTTAGGTGGAGCCTGTACTTCTTGAATAGGTTCCCCCTTCTCAAAATATTCCCTAATTCTCAATAAATCTGAACCCCTCCTCCCAGCATAGTCATCTCATTCACACACTGAGCTCCTGCATTTCTGCCTATCTGGTACTGTGTGTGGAACTGGAAGCGTTTCATAGAAACATTCCATGGACTTCAATCTTTTAACTAGCAGCCTAAATTTGGCCACCAGGTCCTCTCTATGTCCTTCCCTATGTCATTGGTACCTATATGTATCATAACTACTGGCTCCTCTCCAGCACTACACACAAAACTATCTAGATGTCTCAAGAGATCCAGAGCCTTTGAACTAAGGCAAGTTCCATGTGGTTCTCCCAGTCATCACAAACCCAACTATCTATGTTTCTAATGATACTAATACCAATCTTTTCCTAATGACTGGAGTTCCTTCCACCAGATTACACAGTTTTTGTGCTTTCAGTTTTCTCAAATATTTGCTGGATAGCTCCGTAAAAAGGTCTCAGGCAGATTTTAGACTAAAAGCAGCATCTTCCATATTGTGTAATAAAAGTACATAATTTGGAGATCTTCTCATGTGAGGGAATTTGCCAGAATCCACACCATGCGTTTAAGGTAGTAAAATATTTTGTACCACTCATAGCCCCAAATTGTCTTCCCTGATGGATTACTGAAAGTGTTCTCTTTTGATAAAGTTGTTATGTTTCCTTAGGATCCAGGCATACATAATATCAATATTCCATTCTTTTCCTCCATACTATTTGCAGATGAGTACACATATTTTGTAGGCTCTTCGAATTACATCATTTGCTACTAAGTGGTCATGTTCTATTTGTTTCATGCTTAGGAGAATATTTCTAGGGTCTTGTATAAGAGGTTTTGTTCTGCCAGTTAAATTCTATATTCAGTTGCTAATTTTTTCTATGCCCTCAGAAACATCCTGATACTGTTCCTCTGTCTCTTATCTCTTCTACCATGAGCACTCTTTGAAGCAGCCCAACAGCTTGTCATGTCTTTAAATCTGCTAAAGTTGCTTTATTTCTTTTAATTATCACAAAGTGAATTAATTCTTTTTGATCTTTTGCTTTTGTATCTAGTACACATGTACTTCTAGTAGGAAGGAGTTGTCTATTATAACCTTTCAGTTTAACCTGCTAGTTACTTTGTTCCCTGTTTTTTTTCTTTAAATGTATAACACTAAAATATGGGGGGGGAACCCATTTATCTGAGCACCAGTGTCTAATTGGTAGGTTATTTAAAGTTACATCAGTCTCTAAAGAAATTATCCATTCAACTGCTCCTTCCTCATCAGATACAGTTCCTAGATAGAACTCTTCTATGCTTCAGTTTGTCCTCTCTTCTTAGATTTGACATCAGCATTTATGCTTTGCTCCCTCTTCTGAAATTGTTGATCCTGATTGCACACTTACAGGACTCAATAATGCCCAGCTTTTGATAAATGCTGTAATTTTTGTAAGAAATAGTTATTTTACTGTATTTGTGTCCACATCTTGTGCAAACCTTGAAACTCCTCCTTTCAAATTATTGCTTTACTGTACTTTTTTTCATGCTTCTCTTTGTTTTTTGCTCTGTACCAAGTTATTGTTTGCCAGTTTTTTTTCTCTTGTTCTACTCATAGTAGCAGTGGCCTGTTTTCCTTCATTTTTTTTATTCTGTTCAGAGTGGCACCAGCTGCCTCACACCGTCTTATTGCTTTTTCTAAAGTGAGAGATCTTCCTATGGTCATTTCTGATTCTAATTACAGTCTCAACCCTTGTAGCGGAATCTGTTAATTCATAGTTGTAGGTTTGGCTCATTAGCTTCCGCTCTGTTAGAAATTCTTCAAAGGACTTTCTTTCCTTTTGTCTTTTAAGGTGAAATATACCTTTCAAATGTTACCCTCTTTTATGTATTTTAAAATTTCTGCAAAGTTGTGTCATAACTTACTGTCTTGGCCTGGTCTAATGCATACTTTCAACTCCTTTGCCTCAAGTCTTGAAGGCTATGTCTACACTGTGCATTGTTGCGCAAGAAGATATGCAAATGAGGCATGGCGATGAATATCGCCACGCCTCATTTGCATACCTACCGAGCTGCCATTTTTGCGGAAGGGGCTTTTGTGCAAGAAGGAGCTGTCTACACTGCTCCTTCTTGCGCAAAAAATCCCTCTTGCGCAGGAGCCGTTCTTCCTGAAAAAAAGTGGCAGAACAGCTCTTGCATAAGAGGGGGTTTTTGCGCAAGAAGGAGCAGCAGTGTAGAAACCTGCTTCTTGCGCAAAAGCCCCTTCTGCAAATATGGCGGCTCATTAGATATGCAAATGAGGCACAGCAGTATTCATCGCCACACTCCATTTGCATATCTTCTTGCACAACAATGTGCAGTGTAGATTTAGGCGCAGTGTTTAAGAAGATTGCTATATTCCACTTCCCCCCCCCCCATCCCACCAAAGTCAGGCCACAGGGCTACAGGAGAATCGTAGAAAGGAAATACATTAGCCCCAGATTAAACAGGCCCCTCTACTTAGGATAAACTAACAAAGGCTACTGCAGAACCAGCAGGAACTTGCCAGAATTAATCCTGACTAAAAAAAGGTTCCCACCCCAATCTAGACTCTTAGAAGTGGCTTTATCAGAACTAAAACGGAGTTACATAGGACAAAGGAGAGCTGTGCTTTCCTAGCGACATATCTTCAGACTGCTTGGATTCTTTCTAGCTCAATCCACTTCCCTCTAACATGTGCTCTGCTCTTAAAGCACAGTGCATACTTCCGAGAATGCCTCTGATACCTTTCTATTTTTCATATTTACATAAGCTTAATATGCTCAAAGCCAAACATATTTTTGGTTTTCTTTATGTAGTTGTGATAAGTGCTCCGAGCTCTGCACCCACATGTCAACATCCTCACCATCTCTGCTACACTGTAAGGTTCCTAAAGAGTGCTTGCAAGTGAGAAGCTGGAAGTGCCACAGATTAGAGAGAACTGTGGGGAATAGTCAGGTTAACACTAGAGGTGTAAAATTCTATTTAATTGTCTAATTGAACTTGATGTTTAACCATTTAACCGATTAAAGGGGGGTTATGGGATGTCTCTTTGGGCTGGAGCAACCCCCCCTTCCACCCACAGCAGCTGGACTGGAGTGCCCTCCCCCCGCCATGGATAGGGGCTACTCCAGCCTGGCTGGAGCAGCCTCCACCTGCTTGCCATAGCCTAGCCTGGTGGAGCCCGGCGCACTGCACCATGGCTCAGCCAACTGGAGCTTGGCAGTGCCTGGCAGTTCCAGGCTGCCGGTTAAGCATAATCCAGTCAGGGTGATGTTTAAACGTGCACATCCCTAGTCTAGATTCAAAATTTTATCTGCATCTGTAAAAATGATCTGTGGATACCAGTTAATGGCTTAAACAGAGGTGGGTGGGCATCCCTCAGTTATGGCTTAAACAGAGGTGGGTGGGCATCCCTCCCCCTCCCCACCATGTCCACGCTGGAGCACCAGTCCCTGCTGTCAGAGGCAGGGGGGGGGCTGGGGGCGCTGGGAGAAGGTTAACCAGTGAGCCCAGGCTCATCGGTTAACTATGTAAGGTTACTCTTTCACATTCCTACTAGAGAGAGGCTTTTATCTTTTGATCTCCTTCATGTTTTCTGAAAGCAGTTTTATTTCAGCTAGTAAATTGCTGAGGCACTTACTGTGAAGTCACTTTACAACTCTTTTCTTTAATATTTGAACCTCTAGGAGCTTGGTAAAATAAGAAACTTTATCCATCCAATATATGAATGTGTCTTATACCAATCTGATATTATCAGTCAGGGCTCCTTATTATTGCTTTTAAACTTAGAAAACCTCACACACGCCGCTTTAAAGGCAAGGTTGGTCTTATGAATGATATAATCTTTAAATCAATTACCGAATAAAAATATTACTATTAAAAATCCTAAGCACGTATAGCCTTTCTTGTAAGGTTATGAATACTTGCTTGTGTAGAATTGTCAGACATTGTACTAGTAATACTAATGTGTATGTTTTGTTTTTTTTAAATAAATCTTTTAAGGTAGAAGGAACGGCATATCTAAGTTCTTTCCTGTGGAAATCCCAGAATTTAGGCCTGTGGAATAGACTTCGTGGGGAGAACTTGCTGGACAGTGGAGCTCCTTTTTATGAGACCTACAAGACCTTAGATGGGAAATACATGGCAGTTGGGGCCATTGAGCCCCAATTCTATGAGCAGCTAATCAAGGGTAAGTAACTTCCCACAGTTGGTTCAGATCCGTCGAGCCTTTCCTTAGCCAGGTAGGGTTGAAAGAAATGAAGTCATTATTATTTAATTAATATCTCTGTTCTATGAAATCCATTGATTTTGGGGGAGGGAAGGTTGTACAGGCAAAATACCTTTTAAAACCAGCTTTAATAAACTACTTATTTTTGTAACATTTGAATGGGTAAGATTTGTTAAATGTATATGTTGAATTAAAAATTTTCTTCTGGAAATGTGCTACTGTGTTATTTTGTGACTGAACTACTGAACAATTTATTTGTAAACCACTATTTTCAAAGGGTTATAAGTCTGCTTTAAAAACTCACTATGGGTGGAAAGCAAGATTTTAGGCTAGACTGCAAATTAAAACATAGCTTTTTATTGTTCAAATAAATTAATTAAAACTATTTAAAAATGCTCTTGCAGTGTAGATAGTCAATAATAGTGTTTCACTTTTTAGGTAAAATTGGATTTTTAAAAACAAGTTGGCTATTGTATAGTAACTTTTACTGCAAAATTTCATAAAGCTGTGTAGTATCTGCTGTCAGATTGTCACACTAGTAATCTGTTTTGCAAATACTATATGCAGTTTTTCTAGTAATCCTTGATAGATAAAGTAATAAGTAAAAAGATCATCAATCCCAGTCTTCACTAGACTTTCATCTTGAATTTAAAACCTGATATGCTCCTGGCTTCCCACACTTTGCCTCTACTCACAGTGGTTCCTTCTGTTGCAAGATACACCTTTCCGTTCTTTTCAGTCAAGATCCTGGTTCTTTTAGAATTGAATTTGTGTATCCTTTAAAAACATACTTGGGTAGATTTGGGCTTTATAGTCCCTTTCCAATATTCAAGTTATGAACTGTGTAAGAATCTCCTTTTAGTCTAAATTTCAGTTTTGTTTTGCAAGTAGAAGAAACACCAATATAGGGGGTGCATGAGGCAAATACCGAAATATTTGTTGCCAAGAGTATAATGAAGTTCTGCTGTGTTATGTAGTGCTAAACAATACTGCACCATTTTTATTTTGAAATAATTGTTTTTGTTCATTGTTTTATTACAGCAAATATGTTCACTGTTATAAGGCTGTTTTTGAATAGAGTGTTAAGTGTAATTTATTTTATTGAGCTGGGATCCCAGTTGGAGAGTGTAACTGACAGTCTTTTAATGCAGGACAGTTCACATATTCATCTGATATAACAAACCCAAAATTTGTCACCATTGCTGCTGACCCTTCATAAGTTTCCCAGACTGCAATTGCAGCATCTCTTCCGTGTTCAGAAGAGGCACTTCTCTTGGGAAGTAGCTACGTAATACTGAGTGCCGCCTTATGAAATTCGCCCCAGAGTGTAACTGACAGTCTTTTAATGCAGGACAGTTCACATATTCATCTGATATAACAAACCCAAAATTTGTCACCATTGCTGCTGACCCTTCATAAGTTTCCCAGACTGCAATTGCAGCATCTCTTCCGTGTTCAGAAGAGGCACTTCTCTTGGGAAGTAGCTACGTAATACTGAGTGCCGCCTTATGAAATTCGCCCCCACCTCTTCCTCCTCAACCCCCACAACCTCTTCCTCAATGTCTGCCCTGCTCCCCACGACCCCCTCCCAGCTGGGGGATTCTCTCCTGCTTCTCCTCCCGATTTCCCCTGGCCAGTCACCCTCCCTCCCTGCCCCCTGTCCAGCCCTGCTTCTGCTGGCCACCTGCCCGTCTCCCCTCCCCCCGATCTCTGCCAGACAGCCCCACTGCCCTCAACCCTGCTTCCCGGTGGCTGGTTTCCCCCACATACACCCCTCCTCCCAGCCCGCCCCACTCCCCTCCTGGCAGCCATGCTGAGGCCCGGTATTTTTTTCCCACGGCCCAGTACCGGCCTGCGGCCCATAGTTTGGCAAATCCTTCTTCATCAGATCAATAAAGGCCATATACGACGAGGAGTGGCCCAGAGGGTAGCACGGGCTGAGCACAGCCCTAGGCCAGCAAGTTGCGGGCTGGAGCCCCTGTTGAGCCAGGAGCAGCTGCACTGCTGCATTCAGGACCCCTGGCCCGGGGCGCAGTGGAGTGGGTTGGTCTGCGGCCCCCTGCCACCCACTAAGCGGGTGGCAGTCTCCCCCTCGCCACTGCTGCAGGTGCGCTACCTGCCCAGCTCCTGAACTAGGAGGCTCTACAAATCTGTGTGTTTGTTTGCAGCCACGTCTTGCACCAGGGCCTGGCTGCCATTTGCTGCCCCACCTTGAGCTAGGGCTGGGCCTCCATTTTGATTAGCTGCCCTGCCCTGTACCAGAGCCTGGGCTCAGCTTATTGAATTTATCACCGCGCTCTGCATCAGGGCCTGGGTTCTGCTTAATGTGTTTGCCGCCCCGCCCTGCTCGAGGGCCTGGGCTTGCACCCTGTGTTTGTTGCCCCGCCCTGCTTGAGGGCCTGGGCCTATAGACTGTGTTTGTTGCTTGAGGACCTGGGCTTACCTACTGTGCTTTGGTGCCTGCCGGGAGTCAGGCTGGACTTTTTAAAGGGGCAGGACAAGAACTGTGAGCTGATAGACTTGCGTATATGATGAACTTCTTCCCCTGCGGCCCGGATCTGAAGCAAGGCTAGGCACGTGAACTATTGCCTCTCACCCCGACCTGAAGCAAGGCCGGTTATAGACTCACTGACTTGGACTATTTTAAGGCATGGTAGTGCAGTGGGGGCGGACCGGCAGCCCACTGCAACAACCAACCAGCCCCCGGAAGGGGGGAAGCTTAGAGGCTGTTGTGGGCACTGCGCCATCTGAGCTAATTCCCAGGACCAGCTGTGGCAGTGAGTGTACCCCGCTACAGGCTGTAATTTCAATGCTGTTCTTGTCAAACCAGTCCTGATGGTAGCAGGAGGTAGCAAGGCTGATGGAATTCTCACAAGCCTCACGCATAGTTTATTTTAGAGATTTCCAGTCTTCTTTGACTCTTGTGCTGTCATTTCCAGGTGTGCATATGGTTAATTTTTCACCGAAGAGTGATTGGAAGTTCTCTTGGTGCACGGAGGCTTGTAGTCTTTGGATGTTGTACTGCCATCTGTGTGATTTGGATTGCTTTCTGTGTTTTGTTGCAACTCTGATGGCCATGACTGACCTCACAAGATGGTGGTCGGTGCAGCAATCATCAGCTCCTGTCATAACATGGGTGATTTGTGCACCTCTTAGATCCTGTGTTCTTACAATGACGTAGTTTAGAAGCTGCTACTCTTTTGAGTGGGGATGTTACCAAGTTATTTTGTACTTGTTGCTTTGTCTGAAGATTGTATTTGTGATCACATGGTTGTATTCTGCACATTTGCAGAGTAAAAGGATGCCACTGGATTTGGTCTTGTCCACTCCTTCCTTCCCGATGGTACTACTCCATTTGTTAGACTCCCGGCCAACTCTTACATAAGAGTCCCCCACCTATTTTTGTAATGGATGACGCATGCACTGATGATAGTGGCAAATAACTTATTGGCCGGTTGCATGCAGAGGGTCATACTCCTATGAACAGTCTTACTGCTTTGAATTACTGATTTTATTCTCAGGATGTCAAAACACTTTATTGATGTTCATCTCTCCCCATGAGGTAAATGTGTTTCTGATTTTGCAAATAGGGAATCTGCAGCCAGAGAGATGAGTGACATCTGGGACTAGAATTCAATTTTCTGACTCTCAGCTGATGCTTTAATTCCCAGACCAATTGTCTCCAACGTTTTTAACCACAAGATCACTCTTTCAGTTTAAGTTCAGTGTAAGAGCCACCTCAAATACCCTTGCTCCACTTCCCACTCCTTCTTCGAGGTCTTGCCCTTCCTCAACTCCTTCTTCTCCAAGGCCTCACCCTGCTCACTCTATCCACCTTTCTCCCCCATCCTCACTCACTTTGACCAGGCTGGGGTAGGGGGTTGCAGTGCAGGCTCTGATCTTGGGCCAAGGAGTTTGGAGTGTGGGAGGGGCTCAGGGCTTAGCCCAGAGTGGGGAATTGGGGTCCAGGAGGGGTTTCAGGGTTCAAGCTCTGGGAAGGAGTTTGGTTGCAGGGGGATTAGCATCTGGGACAGGAGGTTGGGTGTAGGAGGAGATTCAGGGCTGGGACAGGGGTTCAGGAAGTAGGCTCTGACTGGGCACCATTTAACTGAGACGGCTTCTGGGTGGTGTAGCAATGGGGATAAGGCAGGCGTACTCCTGTCCTGGCCTTGCACCACTCCAACTTATCTCGGGACTTTGTGCTAATGAAGTCCTGCCAACCAGCTCAGGGCTCCTTCTTGCTGTCCTTGGCTTCTGGTAGCTGCCCTGCCTAGGGTTTTGTATCTCCTTCAACTAGCTCCACACCGTCCACACTTACAGCGCCAGCAAGGAATTGAACTCCTTCTGGTCCTGCAATTGTTATCCTAAGCTGCCGTACCCTGATTGTGTCCCACAGAGCCAATCCAGGCAGCTGAGAGGACTTTCTCTAACTGCTCTTCTTTGAGGTGGGATGTGACAGGGCCATGGAGGTCTCTAAAAGGGCCTCAGCGGGTCCTATACCAAGTCTCCATTCTATGGCCTTTTTATAGGGCAATGGCACTGACTATTGGAACTATTTTCCACTGGTAGTGGTGAGTCCATCATCTCATTCTTGAGGGTAACAAAGACTCTGAGCTCAGCTCTTACTATTGTCCCAGCGCTCCCCATATCCTTAGACTGGTACTGTAGTTTGTTTATCGCAGTGATGCCAGTTGGACTCATTGTGGAGTGCTGCGGGAAACTGTCCTACAGAAGAAATAGGAGCCATCCCTTAAAACAGGGTGGGAAACCTTTTTTGGGACAGGGGCTGCTGACCCACAGAAAAATCAATTGGGGGCCATACACAAGTGAGAAGCAAACAAAAACCAAATAAATAAACAAAACTCCCCTAACTGACACAGCCCCCAACTGAGGAGAAAGACATTCCCCTCATTCCCCTTGCACATGAGAGCCTAGGAGGGCCCAGTTTGGTGGATTTTGTG